TCAGAAATTTTAGTATATCTATCTAATGATAACATTCATTAACAAATCCATCCTTTGTAGATGAATCTAAAGGAACTATTTCATCATTAAGACATTTCTCGAAACAAAAAAACCTATAACAAAATAAAGAAAAAACGAAGAAAATATAATTATATTTTTGATAGTTGACATTTAATAAAAATTATTAATGACAGAATTTTGACACATGTTTTTTTTTATACTTTATTCATATTGATTGATATTCTAAAGAAATTGTATACATAATTGATTTTTATTATCTTTTTAAAGTGATGAACGTATGTGGCTTCCATCGGATAAAAAATTATTTGATCAAGAACTATTTAAACGTGATTCATCTCCTCCTATTCTTTATTTTGCTGTCAGGTAGACCCATGAAAATTTATTCTACAAGGCATACTTATTTGAATAATTAATTAGATTTGTCTTTAAATCATTTTTATGGTTACAAAATGCGACTACAGTTCTGCTCTTCTTTTTATCAACACGTTATGCTATTTATCAAGTATGAAAATCTCGCATGCTTTTTACTTTTCTTACTATTAGAATAATTCAATAAATTTTCTAGGGTATAATTGATACAAATGATAATACATTATTTCAATTAGCTGGCCTTGTTATTCAAGCAATAGCTGGAGATTATACAAAGTTTGTTTTTATTTATATTTCATTCTGTCTTTTTAATATCTGAACAATGAATATTTAGTGATGAAGCAGCAACAAATATCATAAAACGAATCTGTGTCTTACCTAAACGTGTTATAGAACGAAATATAACACGAAAATATTGGTAAAAACCTTTCTTTAATAAAATTGTTCTATCTTTTTTTGTTACAGTGAAGATCAAATAATTAATCATTATAAAGCATGTCGTGAAATTGCACGAGGCTTATGTATTGTTAAGTAAGACATCGCTAAAAGAAAAGATATAATTTTTACTATCATTATTATTAGATATATGATGTTAGCAGAAAATCTTCCATCCTATGGCTCACATTATTTTCTTGTTCGAGTAAGATTTTAACAATGAATTCATATCGAATTATTATATTGGTTTTATTTTAAGAATAAAAATAATGTTCTTGCTTATTTGGGAATATCATTTATTGGTATATCTGTATATAATTATCATGATCGTGAAACACCATTAAAAGTAAGAATTTTTATTAAATAAAAAGAAAAAATATTAATCGTTTTTATTTATAGATTTATTATTGGAGACAATTAGAAAATTTATATTATCGTGATAGAAAATTTTCATTAGAAGTTCATGATTTAGAGTAAGGCAAATGACTTATATCCATAATTATATATTGTCTTTATGTAGAACAACAAATTTTGGATCACCTTCATCAATACCAAACAATAATTCTGCTCAAGAAACTGATGATAAACTTATTGATGCCATTCATGATCCAACAACACAGTAAAGAATTAATGTTTAAAGTTTTGCTTCTTTTTTTCTTATCTGAATATTTAGAATGTCGACAGGTCGTCGAATACCTCCAACACCAAATATCAAAGTTCGGGCATGGTTTACACATTCACCACAATATTGTAAAGCAATTTGGTCAATGGCTGTAGCTCAACATCAATTTTATCTTGATAAAAGAAATTGTCGTGTAGGATTTGTTTGTTTTTCTTTGAAATTAAAAATTATTTCTATTTTTTCTTAGCAAAATCAATCTTTACAAATTAATGATCTTGTACGAGAATTAAATAATTCAACTATAACATTAACAATTGATAATACATTACCAAATGGTTCATTATCTCGATCAAATAGTGGTAAATAAATGAAAAAAAAATAGACAATGATTTATTTCTTGTATTATTTAAGCATCAGCAAATGTTGTACAAAACGAACAAATTGAAGCTGATGTTGAACAATTAATGGATTTAATGAAAACACGTAAACAACAATTAGAAAGTTTATTGAATGAAAAAATGAAAGATTTTGGTTTAATTTGTGTACTTGAAAATGTTTGTTAAAATCTAAAGAAATGTCAAACATGAAGTTTATATTATCTATTTTCTGTTTCTAGCAAGTTACCGGTGCAGCATCAGATGAACATATTGATATAAATGAAAGTGGAATACAAAAAGAATTAAAATATCATGTTGTTGATGAATTATTGAATGAACAAGTACAAGAGGTAATAAGAGAATACGATTCATTGTTTGAGCGAGAACGACAGAACAATACATGGTAAAAATCGCTGACGGCTTTTATTAATAAATAGCATCTATTACCGTTGAATTCTTTACTAGAAATAATAAGATCTAATTGTTTTAATATTTATCTAAAGAGAGTTTTTTTTTATTAATGAATAGATATCAAAATTAAATCATTTAAAACAAGAACATGATATTCAAAATAAAATAGTAATATGTGCAAAAAAACTATTACATGATCAAGCAAAAGGAAATTCAAATTTATTAGATTCAGTTTTAAAACAACGTTTTGAATTTTATACATGTGTCAAAGAGAAAGTAAATAATCTTTTACCAATTATTTCTTATGTATATATCTAAACGATTTTTGTTTAGCTCGATCGATTAACAAAATCTATCGATAATGTGCAAAAAGAAATTAATTCTCGTTATCCATATGCGGAAACTAGTCCAAGTAAATTATTTCATTTTTTTATATAGAAAACATTTATTTATTGTTTTAGTTAAATCATCCACAGCTACTAGTGGTAGTCCACCTCCTAATTCTTATGCACAACGATTTCAACAACGAAAAAAGAGTCCTTCACCAACTGTATGTTATTTTAATGTTTTTTATTTTGAAAAACTATTTTTCTTATTTTTAGCAATTAAATCGTACATCATCTTACAAACGAGCATTAGTTAATAATCAACGTACTGTTCCATCAGCAGTTGTCGATACTCATTCATCGGAACTTGATAATCAAGTGTTTTTACCTCCAACATTAGATAGAAGGTACATATTTAGTTCACGAATATTTTTAATCATAATATTCATTTTTTCTTACAGTCAATCATCCGATCGTATTGTTAGTAATTTACAACCTGATTCATCACATAATCGTCAACAACATACAGCATATATTCTTCAACCTCCTTCAACAAATTCCTCAAATACTTCGTCACGTAATCGAATGCGTGATCGTAAACATCAATCAAGTTTACGTCATGTTCAAAAATCAACATCAACAAGTAATACAATGCTGGATGAACAATCACAACAACAACACCACCAACAACAACAACAACAACATCAACAAACGTCAAATATGCGTAGTCTTGATCGACGACATGGACGTCCATTACCACATAATTCATCAAGTAATTCAACAATATCAAAAGCACATATGAAATCAAGTCATACAGATATATATGGTAGTCTAGAACGTAATAAACATAGTAAAGTATCACAACCAACATTACATGGTACAATAATTAATGATGAAAATGATCCTTTAAATAAAGTTGACAATCAAGCACATGACTTTTATCATTTAACGCCAACATTACCAACACAAACGAATACAACATCAACTATTGTTAATGTTGGTAATGCACTGCAACAACAACAACAACAACAAACATCATTTGATCATATTGATTCCATGCCACCTTCACTATCAACAACAAATAGAACACGTCGTCCACAACCATCTGTCTTTCAACCACATTATGATTCATTAACA